AGAGGGACAGATGGTACGCTGTGACTGGTCTGTGGTCTAGAGACCTGGATATGCTTTCTTTGAAGCATATCACAACTTAAATAATCATTTCCATAAAGAAAGAAATGAACAAAACAAAGAGAAAAGGAAAAGAAAAGGAAAAGTCACAATATGAGAGTCACTGATCATAACCAAACAGTACAAAGGGAAAAAAATTAAGTTGATGGACATATTATTGGAATGATGTTGAAAACAGGACAAAGATGGGAGTGATGAGAGGACAGAAAGAATGAGCAAGATCATTCTGTGAACGTTAGTTCAGCACTCTTACCTCTTATTGGTGTACCACCTGGGTGGATAATATGAATGCAAATAAGATTAGAAAGAAGAAGCATTAGTACGAGAAGGAGGAGGCTAGGGCTGGGGAGAAGAATTAAATTAGATTTACAGAATTAAATAAGGTTTTAAAAGAAACTTGAATTACTATACTGGTAAAACAGGAATATATTAGATAGTATTATTAGATTATAAAAAGCAAGTTGCATTATACCACAAGAGGGCAAAGACCACAATAGGCATCATTGCCTTTCTCAGAGAAGCAACTGAGTTCTCAGGTCTGGGGTCATATCGGGTTAGAATTATATCTAGATGCCTCATAGTCTTAAAAAAATAAATAAAAACTAAACAATACTTTTTAAAGACATAGTTTAGGAAAAATACTGGCTAATCTATTTAAGTATATATATAGATACTCATATATATATACTTTTATAGGAAATACTAATGACTAACTAGAAACAAACACTGTTGTTTGAATATCTTATGCTTCTCACTATGCTGCATTTGTGTGATACGACTTGTGTACTATTTTATTTTTCTAGACAGTGTTCTTACAATAACAGTTCTGTGGATGTGTGCGTGTGCGCGCCACTACCGAGATCTGGTGTCTACACTGACAGTTAGTAAAATGCATGCCATGCATTTTATTAATAATAATAAAAATAATAATAATAATAATAATATTCTGGATATGGAAATTAGTGGGGGTGAAGTGCGCTTCAGAACTAAGCACTTACCAATAGATTCTGGAGATTTAAATACGGAGAGAAGAAAGACAGCATAAAAATATTATTATATTCCTTATAATTTGGTACAAATTTTTCAGAGTTAAAGCTTTATATACTAAATCATCTATGTTACATGTGAATAATTAATTCTTTATTTACAATAACAGAATGCTAATCTATACAATTCTGCTGACAACAAGCAAAAGAGGCAGTTAACAAGACGCTTTAACATCACAGGACAGGTCAAAAGCTGAGAATTCTGGGAAGACAGGCAGTTAAGTTCAACAACTTAGAATTCTATATCAATATTACTCCCAATGTCAAAGTAAACAGCTCATTACTACATGTCCCAGGGAGATCATCTAGGGACAGGCTCTAAAATTTAAGAAATTTAGAATTATCTCTATTTTTTAATCTAAAGAGAGCAAAGGAATGAACTTGGGATGGGGATGGAAAAGGGACAATAGGGCAGCAGGGAGAGAGAGGAGGAAGCGGCAAAAGCTGGAGTCTACACCAAAAGCAGACTTCTGTAGATCCAGTCACTGGAGGGTTCAAAACTCTTTAGTGTGGGCGCACACTACTGTGGCTTATGTGTAGAAAATGCTCACTCACAATAATATAATAATAAAGTTAATAAAAATCCCCTCCTTTCATTGGTACTTGGTAAAGGACTTTTGCAAAATACATCTGGTTACTCAGGAGATAACATTTCTGTGGTTTATGTATTAGTGAAAAGAAAGCAGATGTGACCAAACTTACTAAACTTTGGTACTCTGATGAGTTCAAATGCAGAAAAGACAGAGAAAACACACTTTAGTAAAACTGAATCATTTTAGTGTTTAATATGAATCTTTTGGTTTTTAATGGATACAACCATTGGAGCTCCTTGCAAGATCTGAATGAAGTCCAATGTTGAAATTTTTTTTTTCAAAAGAAAACAGAGAAAGAAGAAAGAAAGAGGAGAAAATGGATCCATCAAATACTGCAGAAAAGCAGTAAATTAAAAATTATTAAAAATACAGTCACAGCAGTGAGCAATGTGGATTAAACAGAAGCTGCAAAACAGAGAGAGAAAGACAGACTCTGAAACAGGCTATGACATCACAAACATGGACAACACATTAAATAACAGAGAAAGAGAAGAGGGAGAAAAATCAATACCTAAAAATTAAAATAAAACAAAATTAAAATTAAAATAAAGAGAGAGAAAGCTAAAAAAAAAAAAAATTCTCTAACAGTTAGTGGAAACAGTAACAAGACCCTACCTGATCGTAACTGCTTAATTCGGCCATTGTTGTTGCTTGTGTCGACAGGTAAGAAATCTTTAAACCAAGTTATTTCTGGATCCGGATTCCCACTGGCTGCGCAAAGCATGGTGGCAGTGCGTGTACGCTCAACCACCTTCAACTGTGGGCCCATGTCAATGGTAGGGAAGCCCCTGGGGATTTGATCCTCTGCAAGACAAAAGGTGATACAAACATTATGTTAACAAGTCAGAGGGCCAAGATTCAAGAGCTATTGTCCATTCATCTTTCCCCTTACCTTACTCAGCATTCGAGAAGCTAATACAAATCGGACAACATTGCACTATCAGATTAGGACACAGTCACAATGTTGCTCCTGGCCAGAAGAATACACCATCCGCATATGAAACAAATAACCTAACAAAGAACTAAGACAGATGTGCTAAAGTCCATAATTTAAAAAATGCATCTAGTTCTTGGCATGATGGAGAGAAAAGAAATTATAGGATGTATGCCTGAGGAGGTCAGTGAGTACCAGAGGAGGCTCTGAAATGGGCCTTTAAGACAAGAGGAAATATATTCCTCACATTAAGAGAGTATTTTCCTCTATTCCAAAGGTTTATAACATTTCAGTCACTAAGAGTTAAATTCCTAAATTTTGAATCCTCAGCTCATCCAAAGTTCACTTCTCCCTAACCTATACCAAAATTGTCCCGGATCAGGACACCTGGATGGCTCAGTAGGTTAAGTGGTTGCCTTCAGCTGAGATCAGGATCCCAGGGTCCTGGAATGAGCAGAGTATCAGGCTTCCTGCGCAGCAGGGAGCCTGCTTCTCCCTCCCCCACTCCCCTTGCCTGTGTTCTCTTTCTGTCAAATAAATAAATAAAATCTGAAAAAAAAATTGTCTCAGATCTTATATCTTGCAAAATTAAAGTCCTCTTAAGTCCCCTAAGCATGATGATCACATTACTGGCATTATTGGCTCTTCCAGCCAGCATTAGAAAGGTGTATTCTATCTTGAAGAAATTTTGATTTGAAGGAATTTCAGTTATGTGAGTAATGATTTTCCAAATTAGAACTTGGCTGTTTGATTGAAAACCATTGTGAAACATTTTAAATTCTCACTGGTTCTGGCATTAATTTAACGAAACCTCCTTCATGACCTCCGATTAATTTTCAGGAGCCACCAATTCCAAAATTACTCAAAGCACAAACACCAGTGAGAGAGAAAAAAGAAAGAAAGAAAGAAAGAAAGAAAGAAAGAAAGAAAGAAAGAAAAAAGAAAGAAAAAGAAATCACCAGATGTGGCACCTCACTTTCCTTGGATATAGCCTGCCATTTCTGGCATGAGCCTATGAGTCTTGCTGAAGTCTAGGTTATAATTTCTAGGGAAAAGTGCTCCATTTTGATGCTTTCACTGCGTTGTCAGTCAGATCTATGTGTTCTCTACTCCCTCCCCTCTATCATTACAGGATAAACTCAATCTCCTAAATCTAGCTAGCAAAATCCTTTTAAATCAGGCCCCATTTTTCTCAGCCTCTCATGGATGATATCTCCCATAGGAAAGTTTCTTCTGCTCACACTGTAATTCTTAACCATTCCCCAGACAAATCATGTTCACTAAGTACTCTGTGTCTCTGAAAAGCCATGCAGCCAAAATCACCTTCTTTGTAATAAAAAGCCTTTCAAATATATTTAATATTTCCCTCCTCAGAACTATCATGTAGTAACTAAAATCCATTTTCCTGTACTTATTATCATCAGTTTATCTCCCTACACCATGAATTCTTCCATGTCTCATTTATATCCAAATCCCTTGCCATCAAACTAGTCTGGATTACTAGAATTTTTTTATTTTTTATTTTTTTTTAAGAAAGAGAGAGAGGGAGAAAATACTAAGGAGGTTACACACCTAGCACAGGAGCCTGACACAGGGCTCGATCTCACATCACTGAGATCATGACCTGAGCTGAAATCAAGAGTCAGACCCTTAACCAACTAAACCACCCTGGAGCCCCTGGATTACTCAAATTTGGGTAGAACCTCCAATGATTCCCAAGGTTAAATATAAATATATATACTAGTGACTGAAAACTGAAAAAAAAAAAAAAGTTTTTCTACTACATATAGTAGAAAACTACTTCTGGTAAAGAGTTGGTCAGAGAAATAGCTCAGGATTACAGAGATAGATTTTGAATGAATAAAGGTCAAAATATACCAAAGAATAAAACTCCCAATAAAGGGAAAGTTTCCCTCAACAACTCCAGATTATTGTAAGAGAAATTGTGGGGCCAAAAGAACAGGGAAAAGTGGGGACCCTGGCTCTCCTGCAGGGAGAAAGAAGCGACTAAGGCAAGTTGAGTTTGACCTCTCAATTCACTAGAGAATATTTTCCTGTCCCACCAGCTAGTTACAGCTAGAGAATTAAAAAAAAATTATAAAAATAATTCACCTTCAATAAGCTACATTTTACTTAACTTGAAAGCTATGACTGTTTTGAGAAAGCAGGAATACAATCTGTTTATTTGAATGTTCACACATCATCAGCCAAGCGGAAGTCTATGGTGGACAGGTGTCAGAATCAATAGCTAAGAATGAAATTTCAAGGTGATTTTTCAGGGCTCCAAGTTGGAATGTTAAACATTGCAAATGGAACAGAGCATTTTGCAAATCAGACTAATTTTGATAACCTACTCCATTTGAGTTCCATCAGGCTGTCCTTTATGACTTTAAAGGTTTCATCAACAGGACATATTTACATCTATAGCATTGTTCTACTGTTACTTGAAAAACAAAAGCGGAACAATCAATAGCCATTGTACCATACACATCATATTAAACATCTCACTTGGCAGCTACTGGTATAAAATGCTTCAAAGGATAAAAAATAATTTACTTCAAGGGCTCCAAAGTCAACTACTGGAGTCAACTGGCTTAGTTAGTCAGAAATGAGTTTTTTAAAAAGCTCTTAACCTTTGTTGTTATTTTCCATATTTAAAACCACCAATTTAGGTTAATAAAAAATCATCTTGAGATTCTTGAATTGATTCTTCATTTCCCAGGGCATTGTATCTACCCCCAAGACTTTGAATACTAGTTACATCAGCATCCATTAACATTGACCTACTAGTCATTACTTTTCTCAGGTTCAGCTTTCTGAAGAACCAACCCAATATTCAGTACCAAGTGGCAAGTGTCAAAGACTTAAGATTGTTGCACCACTTACTAAAGGTTCCTACTAAAGAAATCTAGAATTAATAACCATTTATAAGAAATGAAGTCCTCACCTTGGGGAAAGCTGACAAAATTGACTTGTGCCCTACCAAAAGCAGTCTAATATATTTGCATGACCTTTCTTTCCTTCTTGGCTCATAAAGAACACTCCAGAGCCCCCTTTTCATATACATAAGTGCACAACAAAGATAATCTTTCTTGCATACTAATCGGACAGTGGATGTAAAGAGTGTTCCTTTCTTATTTTTAATAAGGGTAATTAAATTCTATCCATCCCCCTTTTGCACAGAATCTCTTTGAATGTACTATCTTCATTAAATTTTCATGAGAAACATCACAATGAAACAGATTCAAGTAGCCAGAACGCTTACACATTGACAGATGTGGCTTGTTTCCAATTTGACTGTCAGGTATTTGGCAATAAAACTCAGTATTCAACATAAAATGAACTGTAGAAATAATGACATTTCTAATTGGAATGCTTATCTCAGTGGGTGTAGTTTAGAAGATGTTGTTGTTTTTTTCACCTTCTACATTTATTAGTGATTTATATAAAATATAAATTGGCCATTTGATAACATCAATTTTGATAGCTCATCAAATGTGTACTACCAGGAACTTGGGGGGAAAAATCAATAACTTTTATATCTTAACCACATAGACTTTTACAGAAAAAAAAGCAGCTATCAAAAATCAACAAATTGTCAATATGTTAGCAGCTTTAAACTTTTACATGAGGTGAAAAGAAAAACATTTTGTCCTATTCATTAATGTGCTCATTAAGCTTTAAAGTGCCTTACTTATCACTGTTCCATATTAATATTCAATCATGCAGAATTAGCTATTAATTCATCAACAATTTAAATCAGACTTGACCTTCACAAAGCCATTTGGTCTGTCATTTTGAGAGGCCATTAAAGGGCAGATTACTACATACTTGTGCTTAGTGAATCATGGAAGTCGTACATATTTTGTTTGGAATGGCAGCTATAATAGACCTGGAAATACAGCACATTCTTTGACTCTGTTTGGTGTCTTAATGAAATATGCTGATATGAAGCTTACAGTTCCATTAAGGAAAGAGAAACATGAATGTCAGCATCTTCCAGAGTTAACTTCCCATTTCTGCAGAACTTGTGTTAATAACCCCTGACCTACCCAGGACCTGAGTGGAATGTATGGGGAAAAAATCTAATAGTGTTTTGTAGGGACTCATGTTTTAGATATCTGTGAATCATCAAATAAAAGCTTTTGCATAATTTGATCAGTTAAACTACTTTCATTGTTCATCCATAAAAAAAATTTTAATGATATTTTTACTTGCGCTCCAATTCCACAAACACTGAACCTCTCTTATTTGATAGGAAATCCTCAAAACTAAATTGCCTGCTAAGACCAAAGCCTTCTTCCAAGGTGGCCCAAGCAGTTCATTTTGTCAAATCTGGCTGAGACTCTGAATGAATTCAAGTAGACAGGTGCTTTGACTCTGGTCCCAAATGATTTAAAGAAGTTTTCAGTGAAGGACTGTTTGCCATGGTGCTACCTTTCCAATTCATCATGTCAAATACATCAACGGTATGCTTTTACAAAAGCAGTATTAAAAGATTTGGCAAATACACCTGATCATTTAGATACTATGAACAATGTAGAGGTTCTGATGAGAATGATAATGCCATAAAATGAAATCAGAATCTGGAGGAAGAGATAAGTTGTTGTTGTTGTTTTTTCCTTAGAGAATTCAGCCCCCCAAATCATTTTTCTGAGTACCAAGCAATTCACAGTGGCTCCTTGTTTGAAGCCTTCAACTGGTGTTATCAATCAACCCCTTAATAAGTCAATGAGGGTGCTTGAACTCAGAAGCTCATAGAAGGCAGGGCTCTGTGTTTTTTCCTTTGTAACGGTGACAGTGTACAATGAACATTTGCAAATACACATGTTTAGGGAGTTGTGGCAAACATTTCAGCACTCACTCATGT